TGTCGTTTCCAAAACTTTCTCAGCAGCTTTTTGAAAAAACGAATACATATAAGTTGGCTGGGTGGGTGTAGGCAGAATTGGGGGGTGGAGAGGGGAGGAAAGAAACAGTTTCAACCGTGCGAACTGCACTGGCCAGGGCTGAGCCTAAGTTTTTACCTTTGGAAAACGCAAGGGTGAGGCCAGAGCTGTGAGGGTCAAGGGCAGGGAGGCAGCCCTCCCCACGCACCAGGACAGCCATGGCCCGGCAAGGCAGGCACAGGAGGGAGCGCTGCGAGGACGCGGAGACCCGGGGACCCCCGCCCGCTGCTGCTGGGAGCGCCAGCGGCGCAGCCACTGTGGAGGCCAGTCTGGCGGTGCCCGAAGGTGAGACGCCGAGTCCACGTGTGACGGACACGTGACCGGCAGCTCCACTCCTCGGCGGGTGAGCCAGAGGAGCGACGACCCCCGCACACGAAGCCCACGGGCCGGCGCCCGCGGCAGCCCTACTCCGAACTGCCCAGACGCCGCACACGCCAGACGCTCGCCAGCGGGTGGTGGATGCCACACTGTGGAACGCCACTCGGTGCCCACAGGGGGCTCTGACACGTGCCACGAGGAGGACGGACTTCGGAAACATTGTGTGGCGAGGCGGCCCCGCCCACCCTGCGTGACTCCGCCTTCATGAGCACCCGGTCCACAGAGTCACAGGAGGTGAGTGCTCTCCAGGGGCCGGGGGCCGGGGGCCGGGGCGGGCAGACAAGCCAGTGACGCCAGTGGGTGGGGGTTTCCTTTAAAAGGGTGAGAATGGGACAACACTGTATGTGACGACGGCTGCAGATTCCTGGGGCCATGTTAAAAATGACCGAATTGTACCTTTTAGACGGTTGAGCTGTATGGTGTGTAAGCTTTGGGTCCTTCACAGTGGAAATCAGTGTCTAAAAACACGACGACAAAACAACACACACAAACACACACACGCACACCAGACAACCCTTCCAGGGGGCCCGCCAAGTGCCATGTCAGCGGCCAGCACGCCAGGGCGCCCAGGGAACCGCGGGGCCCCCGTCTCCCCTGCCGGGCCGGGGCGGCCCTGCCGGCCGGAAGCCTTCCACCGGCTGCACCGAGCCTGCAGCCCCCACCTTTCTTTCCTCCCTTCCCTCCCCCACGCCCCCTGGGTTCACGGCACAGAGCACCGCCAGCAGGAAGACCCCACGACGTGTCGGTTCCCGGCCCTCCGCTCCATCCCTTTTGCTCCAGACAAACTCGAGGGCAGGGAGAGGCCACTCTCCACCCCGCACGCCCTCTAGTCCGAGCAGGGAGGCAAGACACACGGTCCCCGCTCTCTCAGTGACACGGAAAAGCACCTCACGAGCATGTATCTTCATGGGACCACCCAGCTCTCCACGTACAAGGTTTCTCCCTGCACCCCGCGCCCCCCACACGGGCACACGGCAGCCTTGCAGGTGTCCCTCCCCCGTTCCTTTCCTCCACGGCACAGCCGTGACCTCAAGGGACACACCGCTGGTCGGTTCTCGTGAGGCCCGTCCTGCACGCGGAGGAGAGCTTGGGGCGGGCAGAAATGTGGGCCACTGCTCTGTTTTCCCACCAAAAAACCTGTCCAGCCCTCGGTGGATGCTCCCTGGGTGCCTGCAGCTGTGTCCGAGGGCGAACTGCCCAGCCCGGAAGGCTGACCCGAGGTTCAGAGCCAGGGACACAGGACAGCAGGGAGAGGCCCTAGCTAGGATAGGACTTCTAACAGGGCGATGAGAAGCAGTGGCCATTTAATCTAGAAAGTTTTGGTGGAGGTGGGAATAAAAAATAAATAGTAATTAACTGGAACATAATCAACAAAAGAAAAAAAGCAAACAAAATATAACCAAAAACAATGAAATTAAGAACAAGCTAACAATAGCCAGAGGGGAGGGGGGAGGGAGGGAGGGGAGAGTGGGGAGAAGGGTTTTCAGGAACTGCTATAAAGGACACAGGGACAAAACCAAGAGCGAGGGAGGAAGCAAGGGAGGGAGGTGGGTTTGGCTGGGGGTGGGGTGTGGAATGCAGACAACTGTAATTGAACAATAAAGTAATAAAAAAAAAATGGGCAAAGAACCTGAACAGACACTTCTCCAAAGAGGACAGACCGATGGCCAACAGACATATGGAAAGATGTTCCGTGTCACTAATCATCAGAGAAGTTTGTATTAAAACCACAATGAGACCCCACCTCACACCTGTCAGAATGACCATCATCAATAAATCCACAAACAAGTGCTGGAGAGGATGGGGAGAAAGGGGAACCCTGGTGCTCTGTTGGTGGGAGTGCAGGCTGGTACAGCCGCTGTGGGAAGCAGATGGAGACACCTCAAAAAACTAAAAATGGATCTGCCTTTTGACCCAGCGTTCCCACTTCTGCTAATATATCCAAAAGCACCCAAAACACTAATTTGAAAGAGTATAAGCACCCCTGTGTTCATTGTAGCATTATTTACAATCGCCAAGGTGTGGAAGCAGCCCAAGTGTCCATCCATAGATGAGTGAATAAAATAACTACGGGACATTTATGCAGAGGAATACTACTCAGCTACTAAAAAAGAAAAAAGAAAAAGGGAAAAGGAAAAAGAAAAAGTAAGTAGTAACAATTATTTAAAAAAATTAAAAACTTTAACACGTCCTCAGGGCTTCGGCACCCGAGTGGTTCCGGTAGCGTGCACTGCCACTGTGGAGTGGCGGTGAGAGACTGCTGCCAGCAGGCGGCCGCGCCGGGGCCAAGGGCAGGCACGTGACCCACCCTGGCCTACGGGGTCTTGTTCTCCGCAGACTCCCCCCTCCCTCCTGGGTAAGAGTGGGACTCGGGGGCTGCTGGCAGCCAAGGCTCCTCAAGAAGAGTCAAACCTTCCATACGTGTAACTTAATACAGAACAAATGTTATGTGTTTAGAAATTCAATATGTAATATACTAATAAACTTAAAGTAAATTTAATAGATAATAAAAAGCATTTAAAATCAATGGGGAAGATGGACTATTCAATACATGGTATAGGGACAAACGATTTTTCAATCATTTAGAAGGCAATAAAATTATACCCCTACCCTGTACCACTCAAAAATCCTAGGAGGGTTATAAAGTGAATAGTGACCAAAAAAAAAAATATGAAAGGATTGGGAGAAAATATCAGAGATTTTTCTTGTGATTCTTTTTCCTGTGATTCTAGGGCTTGGGAACCCTTCCACAGTGACCGAGAGTTGAAATTAAGAAGAGAAAACAACAAAAAAAGATTCCCCAGTTTCCCCCAACCTGAGTGGGTGAGGGTCTCGAGAGCTCACTGCTCAGCACATGTGCTGGGGACCGTCCTCCAGGAGTGGGCAAGGGGGGAAACCCGAGTGGCCCTCGCAGCCCTCGGCTGGCTGGACACTTGGTCAACTCGGAACTTCGGGAGTTAACAGTAACATATTAAAACAATCAATTGGACCTCAACTCCTGGCATGAACGTTACTTTCATCTTCTCTCCCAAAGCAAACACGTTTTGAGAAATAAACATATTCTAGTTAAGTCTAATAAATTCTGAAATATATAGCTTTGGGGAAAAATAACTGAACTTAAGGAGTTCAATGACAATAAGTATTAAAAATTTTGTATTAAGCAACAAGGACTCCCTAGTAACAGGGGAGTGTTAATTTCAAAGGCAGGTAAATATCAACAGTTAAAAAGAAAAGGAAAATGTGAATTTCACAAAGCCAGAGCTTCCTGTGTGAAAACATGAGGCGGAACCAGGACACACAGGTCACCCGGGACAGAGACGACCCAGTGCAGGGGTCGGACCCCGTGGGTCTGCCGCTGCGTTCTCCCCGCGGACCGCCAGCGCGTATCTGGCCAGTCACCTCCCAGGCGCGTCCGGCCTGCTGTTCGCCGTCCCCCGCCCGGGCTGGGCGGCCTCCGCGCGGTGGGGGTGTCCCGCGGCCCTGTCCGCAGCCTGTTACAAAGCCTCCACGCGGACGTGTCCACCAGGGTCTGTGGGGACGGACGGCTCTCTCCCACTGTTTCAAGGAGGTGCGTACCGTAAGCTTTGACCTCATGCCTTGCATAGTAAAGAGAGTTTGTTTTTTTTGTTTGTTTTAGAGGGTTGTTTTTATTTTGGACTTTCCTCTCTGTCTTTTCATGTAGACCAGGTGTTTGGTCTACAGGTGTAATAGTGTGCAGCTCGTCCATCCATTGTTTCTGGGGCGCGTACACCTGGGATGGGAAATGGCATCTCCGAGCCCTGGGGCCACACTCACCCTTCGCCCTTTCCTTCTGGTGCAATACCTACTGTTTCTCCTTTCAAATATGCGACGTACTAACTCTTTCCATACGAAAGAATTCTCCTTATTTAAACAAAAAAAGGGAAAAAAAGGAAAACTGGAGCTCAAAGAGCAAGAGTTTTAGTAAGTCCAGACCCCACATAAGACGATTCCCACGGTGCTGCCTGAGGTCGCAGTGCGACCCTGCAGAGGGCCTGCAGACAGGCTGCAGAGCCTGAGACGGCAGGGCACCGAGAAGCCAGGGCACCGGAAGCCGACCGCGGGCCGACTGCAGCGCAGAGCTGGTGGGTCTTGACGCGGATTGACAGACAGGCCGGCTCAGCCAACCGGGATGGCCCGTCCGGACACCAGCTAGGTCCCGTCCCTATTTTCGCTGCGCCCCCCCAGAATTTCCCTGTACATGCATGTAGACCACGTCTACGTGTACATTACGCATGGAATCACTGTATGAATGTTACATGTGTTAAAAAACAAAACAAACTTAACGTGGGTAGCAAGTCCAAACAGGAGCTTTACCACTCCCGCCCACCTGGAAACCGTGAGGGTGAAATGGGTGAGGTCCGTGCGCAGCCCCAGAAGGCGCCTGACCCCTCCCTGTTCCTTAGTCGCCGCCGTCCAGGACACGCCTCAGAGGCTTTCGTTGTCCCAGGTATGAGCGCAAACTCCGGCACAGGGGAACGTTTTCGTGGGAAGGGCAGCGCCGGGGCCCCGCGGCGCGCACTCACCATGTGGACCACCTCCGGGTAGATGGGCTCCGTGATCACGTTGCGATTGTGGGTGATGTACTCCACCATCTCGCTCAGAGCGGCCCGCTTCACCTCCTTCCACTTCAGGTCGCTCAGGGGGTCGGAGACAAAGTCAAAGAGGACACAACACTGGCGTAGCTTCTGGATAAAAAGCTTCTCTTGATCAGCAGGGGGAACATCTGAAACCAGAACGCAGAGCACAGTGAGGGCAAAAACGCCGAACCCCAAATTACTGTGAAGCACTCTAGAGACTTCCACTATTTTTATTTTGAATGAACAGATATTCAAGAAACAGAGAGATGGGATGGGGTGGACAGAGGTTAAACACCCCTTAAGGAAAATGAACAGGAAAAAGCCACCGGTCACCGCTCAGACCACAGGCCTCCTTCCACACGCCGACGCCTGAAGCCACACTGAGCACGGTTCGGAACGAACCCCTCTGGACGCACCCGTTCCGACAGCACCCGAGCGCCAGTCGCCACACGCCAGCACCGTGCGGGCAGGGCAGCGCGAGGCCAGGAAGGCCTGGTGCGCGGCACGGACACCCACACCAGCGTGGGAACTGGGCTCGCAGGAGCGGGCGGGGCACGGAGAGACACAGGAGGACGCCGCCACAGGCCTGCTGCTGCGGCCGCGGCCCCCCAGGGAAGCCCGGAGCCGGTCTGAACGAGCTGCCACCCCCCCTCCCCGGCCGGCTGGAGCGTCCGCCCGGCGCCCACGGCGCACCTGCCATTCCTCTTTCTGGGCCACGGTCAGCGCGCGTCACACCCGACGGCAGCAGCACGGGGGAGCTCGGCCAGTAACCACCACTGCTCCTGACTCCTGCTTACCGGGGTCAGGTAACGTCTTGAAAGCTTCACACATATTTACATTTTTTTGTCATGAAATCTTCACGACGACACAAGATTAAGAAACAGGTCTAGAGGGTCCGTGTAGGGCCGGAAAGCAATGGAGCCCCGCATGACTTTCCAGAATCCCAGGGAGCTTGGAAAATTCCTGCCTGCCAGTGTGAGCTTGATAGCTTCGCTGGGGTGAGGATGAGATCAGGGTGATACTAACAATGGGATTTATTGATAGATATTGAAGCTTGTCCATGATCTATCTGCAAACTGGCCTAGAGGATCTGTGCAACTCAGTGACCAGCATTTTCCAAGTGATCAATAAACGGCGCTTCAAAACCGTCCAAGGACAAAAGAGCCATTCAGAGAGCCGGAGAGCCCCGGGCTTTCGTGTGATGAGACGCACAGAGAGCTTGCTGGCACGGCTTCCGACTCCACGTTGTTGAGTCAGCGCAACGTCAAGGAAAACATCCGCAGCGATCCGAACGGGCCATCGGAACCCCCTCTTCCCCAGCAGGCCTTTCTCCGCCGCCGCCGCCCCCACAGCAGGGCGGAGGACGGAACTCAGGGGCACGGGGAGGACCCAGCTACCTCCCCCGAGCTGGACGGGAAGGATGTGCGAGAACATACCCTGCTGCCGCCCTCGCACTAACTTCGTTTCTGTCTCGGAAAACGCGGTTATTTCCTTGGCAGTACGTTACTTCTGCTAGGATGCAGTAGGCCTGCCATTTTGGTAACGAGTTCATGAATGACGCTCACACTTCTTAGTGGTTTCACTTCAAGCGTGGCCAACCCCGACGGCGAAACCCACACCGCAAACCTCTGCGGGGTCCTGGGCCACCGAGGTCATGCCCACCCCACACCCCAGGGTGCTGGCGCTGCAGGGCGTCCACCGGTTCAGCCCCCGCCCTCCCCGCCCCCCCGACTGTCCCCTCCCGTTCAGGCTCCTCCGCAGGCCCCCCTTCCTTCCCAGGGGGGCAGACGCACTGCCCGGAGCTGGCCACCTGGCGCCCCCTCCCCCCCTGGACACGTGTGGAGGGCAGGTGCCAGGCGATGCATGGTTTTCCAGCTCCCCGTCCCCGGACGCCCAAACCCGGAGGGACCCACTTCGAGGGGCACCACCGTGCTCCTCTAGTCCCTGCCCTGTGGGCGGCACGGCGAGGGCATTGGGACGTACGCCCACAGGGTACTTCGGAGACATGGGAACCAAAATTTGACTCATAAACACTCATTACTCGGGACGGCTCAACGATTTTAAATAACATCGTTGCCATGCTTGGGTCTCCTAACAGTCAGTCACCCCGTCTTTCTCAACGACAAGCTTTCATTTTCTGAATGGCCTTCTCACCTGTCTTCACCCTCCCCCACTCCCACACCCTTTGTTCGTCCACCCCCCAGGTTGCGGGGTCTCCTCACGAACCCCTTTCTCAGTCACAGCTCGTGTATTTGGGACGGGCGGCATTCTCAGGCCCTCGGCGCTGCAGATAACTCAGAAACCCCCGTTGACCCCTAAGGGCCCCCTGAAACCCCTCGCCCGGGACCTACCCTCGTCAGCCAGCGTGGCTTCTAAGAAGTGGCAGGTGAGCCCTGGAGGCGCACCCCACGACCCACCTGAGGCAGGGGCCGCTGCTGCGCTTCGAGGCGACGAGCACACGGCCCCTGCGCTAAGGGGCACAGCACAGCCGTGACTGCTGCGCGATTCTCTCCAACCCAAGGGCGTGGGAGCGCAAAGCGGTGCGGTGGTCGGTGCGGGGTCATTGCAGGGGGCGGCAAAGAAGTCCCACGTGAACCAGAAGCCCTGAAGGCATCGCCCCTTTTAAAGACAGGACGGTGACCGTGACCGGCATTCAGGAAAAAGACTCAGCTGTCACCAAGACAGCGGGACAAACACACCACAATGAAAAAGGAAGAACAGATGAAAACCTCTTTCTCCCATAAAAGTTCAATCCAAACTTCCTCTAGGAGGCAAGAAAATCTTAACTTTGTAGAAATTATGTCAATTCTTTCAGGGTTCCAGACAGTGAAGATGTTACTATACTGTTTCTGTTCATAGTTTATACAAAAGGTTTGGGCTTATAATCTCATAAACTCTTTTTACTTTTTAAAACCTCGTCTGGCTATTTTTACAATTTCACTGTTTTAAAACACTCTATCGTAACAATCAAATTGAACACAATAATAAAAACATTACATCCCTAGTTACTATAAAATATTTCCATGTTTCTTTTTTTTAAAGATTTTATTTATTTACTTTTAGAAAGAGGGACAGGGAGGGAGAAAGTGAGGGAGAGAAACATCAATATGTGGTTGTCTCTCTGACACCCCCCTACTGGGGACCCGGCCCGCAACCCAGGCTTGTGCCCCGACTGGGAATCGAACCGGTGACCCTTTGGTTCGCAGGCCAGCACTCAGGCCACTGAGCCACACCAGCCGGGGCTCCACCTGTGTTTGCAATGCAACTTAGTTTAGCTTCTTATTGGTCACGGTTTGAAAAAATCTCCACCCCCTGCTGTGTTAACAGGACGGTGCCACCAGGGAATAAAAACCAGCGGAGGTGGTGAAAGAATACGCTTTAGGCCTTTATGTATTCTGAGTTTTTAACAGTAGAAAGGAGTTATTTTTGTAATTAAAAATAAAGTCTTGGGGATAAACAGTAATGGAAAAAATATAAAATCAAAACAAAACAAAACAAAACAAAAAGCCTTGCGCTAGCTGGTGTGGCTCACTTGGCTGGAGCGTCACCCTGTGAACCAAAAGGCTGCGGGTTCGATTCCTGGTCACCGAGCACACAGGAGGCGCCGATCTGCTTCTCTCTCACGTCAGTGTTTCTCTCCCTCTCCTCCTCCCTCCTTCCCCCCTTTCTAAACATCAATTAGCATGTCCTCCGGTGAGGATGAAACAGAAAAGTCTTTATAAGCTAGCATTACTAATCTTTGAAGAAAAGAAATCATGATCCTAAGATTTGACCCAAATCTTACAATTACTTCTTGGAGCAGAATAAACAAAACAACAGATTTTGAGTCCTGCCCACGAACGACCATGGCTCACTTTAATTTTAAACTGCACACAGACTGATAATGCAGACACGCTTGCTTCACAGTGTGTTAGTGGACAGCGCTGACCCCAAGAGAGCACCAGCTAAACGGCACGACCTGAGACAAAACTCAAGTGCAGCCTGTCGGAGTTGCCCAAGGTCAAGGCTCTTTAACCAGAAAGGGCTGTAAGAGGCCACCTGCCAGGAAAAGTCCCATGACAGCACCGAAAGTCCAGCACCACGCTGACACTGCTGACCAGAGAGAGCGAGAGCAGCAAAGGGGCCGGCACAGTTTAGGGGAAGGGTTTGAACAGTCACACTTCCTTTCCTTGTTTTCGAAGTTAAGAGCTGTAACATTCCTCTACACAAATAATATCACAGGCACCTTATGTCTGTGTAAATCTCTTTGTCCTCCCCCGTCCCCTGGTATTTTCACTGATTTGCTGTGGTGAACTCAGGATACTACCCAATTATTTCAAGGTCAATCCTTAGTGAAAGCTGGGGCAAAATGTATGGACATCCTATGGAAAACCTGCAGGAGGAGACGACATTGACCTTGGCATCAGAAATACCACACAGAAGATGGAGATAAGAACATATGTATTATTCTTTTTTTTTAAGATTTTATTTATTTTTAGACAGACAGGAAGGGAGGGAGGAAGAGAAAGAGAAAAAGTGTGTAGTCGCCTCTCATGTGCCCCCTACTGGGGACCCGGCCCACAACCCAGGCGTGTGCCCTGACTGGGAATCAAACCAGTGACCCTTTGGTTCTCAGGCCGGCACTCAGTCCACTGAGCCACACCAGCCAGGGCTCTTTTAAAAAGATTTACTAAAGGGATGCCTGCAGGTAGTAAATAATGACGGTTACCCTGAGAGCAGGTGGGAACAGCCACTTCTGTCTCGGTAAGTGCTCCGGGGCTCATGGTGTCCGCGGCACAGAGCGCAGCGCACAGAGTGGACCCAGTCCACTGGCCCAAGACCGCCAAGGTGGGGACGAGCCCCGGGGACTCCCAAGGTGACAACACACTTCTACTTATATTTTCTTCTGCTGTAAAGAATGGAAAAGACGCGCTAACATTTACTGCACAAACTGACACACGCTGGAGGTGGTGCTGGAGCCTGCTCTGTGGCAGGTGTGTGCGCCTGAGTCTGGAGACCACGCGAGGTGGTAAGGAGCCATGTGGCGTGTCCACAGGAACCTGAAGCGGCCAATCCCATCACAGCCACCTGCAGAGGTGGGTGCGCCTGCACACAACGTGCGCCGCGCCTGCAGAGGGACTGACAGACGTGGCATGAGACGCCGGAG